TAGAGGGAAGTAGTGGCTCAGGAAAACGTTAAGATATATTCAATAACTGGTTTGTTATGAAAGTTTATAATGCAGGAACAGCGAGATGGAAGAGAGGAAAAGGGCAAGGTCTGGGGCAAGGTCTCGCCCCATCTCTGTATGTTCATCAACCTGGAAGCCCCCTCACTTCATATTATTTTTCTATATTTTCTTTACTTTTATCTTCCAAATTTTTAAATTTTCTATTGTTTTCATTGTGTGTGTGAAACTATTGAAGTGGAACTCGCTGGATTATGCACCATGATTCCTACATTCTTTAAACATGTTATTTCCTTCAAACTAGGAATATAGCCATAATATGTTTATCAAATTCAAGGAAATTAATATTAACTCAACAGTATTATCTATTCCACAGTCTAATCAAATTTTGCCAGTTATCCCCTGGTGTCCTTTACAGCATCTTTTTTTTTCCAGTTGACGATCCCATATTGCATTTAGTCCTCAAGCCTCTTTACTCTTTTAAGTTCTGAAAGAGTGTCTCAGGCTTTCTTTGTTCTTCCTGCCACTGACATTTTTGAAGAGTAAGGGCCAGTTGCTTTTGTAAAGTGCCCTTCAATTTGGATCTGCCAGATATTTCTCAATGATTAGAGTCAGGTTTTGCATTTGTTTGCTAGGACAGAAGTGATCCTTCTCAGCGCATCATATCTGGAGCCTCTTGTTGGGTTTGTCCCATCACTGGTCATGTGAACTTTGATCGCTCTGGTTCAAGATAGTGTCTGTTAGTTTTCTCCGCTGTAAAGTTACTACTTTCCTTAACGAATACATAGCTTGTGGACTATAAATGCATAGCTTTAACACTATAAAAATATACTAAAAAAAAAGTATCCTATGTGCATGCCACACCTCCCTGCTCCAATTTCACCCAGTGGTTTTAAACATTCATTCTTATCTGAATCCATTATTATTATGTTGGTTGTAAATTGGTCTTTTTTAATCTTTATTATCATTATTTTTAATATCTATTTATTTGGCCACACCAGGTCTTAGTTGTGGGAAGCGGAATTTTTTTTTAGTTACAATATGCAAATTCTTAATTGTGCCATGTGGTATCTTAGTTCCCTCACCTGGAGTTGAACCCATGCCCCCTGCAGTGGGAGCTGGGAGTCTTAACCACTGGATCGCCAAAGACCCTCTCGTCTTTTTGATAGTAGTCATTCTGACAGGTACAAGGTGATAATCTCATTGCGGTTTTGATTTGCATTTCCTTGATGATTAGTGATATTGAACATCTTTTCATGTGTCTGTTGGCCATCTGTGTGTTTTCTTTGAAAAAATGCCTATTTGAGTCCTCTGCCCATTTCTATTCTTTTTAATTTTTCTTTTTCCTCTGCCCATTTTTAAATCAGATTTTTTTGTTGTTGTTATTGAGTTGCACGGGTTCCTTATGTATTTTGGATATTAACTCCTTATCAGATACATGATTTGCAAATATTTTCTCCTATTCTGTTGGTTGTCTTTTCATTTTGTTGATGGTTTCCTTTGTGGAGAAGCTTTCTAGTTTGATATAGTCCCATTTATTTTTGCTTCTAATGTCAAATCTAAAAAGTCATTGTCAACACCAATGTCAAGGAGATTATCGTCTATATTTTCTTCTAGGAGTTTTATGGTTTCGAGTCTTACATTCAAGTTTTTAAATTATTTTGAGTTTACTTTTGCATATGGTGTGAGAAAGTAGTACAGTTTGTTTCTTTTGTAAGTAGTATAGTTTTCCCAACACCATTTAATGAGGAGGCTGTCTTTTCCCTATAGCATATTCTGGACTCATTTGTCATAGGTTAATTGACAGATTAATTAATTGATATATTAATTAATCAATTAAGTGTGAGTTTGTTTCTGGGTTCTCTATTCTGTTTCATTGATCTATGTGTCTGTTTTTATGCCAGTGCCATACTGTTTTGATTACTGTAGCATGAGATGTAGCTTGAAATCAGGGAACAAGATAGTTCTTTGGGTTCATCTTATACTTTCCAGGCTCCAGTCTTGGGGTCAGCCATTTTCCAAGGAGCCTGGTGGAAGAGGCAGTCCACTGCAGCCCAGAGCATATTTGCACACTCTCGCTATGCGTGCATACGTCCATGCATGCTCAGTCTCTAAGTTGTGTCCACCTCTTTGTGACCCTATGGCCTGTAGCCCACCAGGCTCTTCTGTCCATGGAATTCTTCAGGCAAGAACACTGGAGGGGGTTGCCATTTCCTTCTCCAGGGGATCTTCCTGACCCAGGGATCGAACCCTTATCTCCTCTATTGGCAGGTACGTTCTTTTATCATTGAGCCACCTGTGAAGCCCACACTCTTGCTGATATGCCAACAATACATGGTCCTGGCCGTTCTGTGTCCAGGCGGTTTCTCAAGGTTGTGTTGACAGTGAGTAACGCTGAGGGATGAAGTAACGTCTCCCTTCAGGACAAGGGCAAGTTTGCTTACCACCTACTCAAAAAGAAGGAAGTTCTCCAAGCTCAGAGTTCCTCAGCTGTGGGGCAAGCCTCTCCGTGTTCACCCCTGTGCGAATCGGGGAGTAAGCGGAACTGAAGCAGACAGTGCACCTGCTGTTTGCTGAGTGATGAGTGGTGGGTTTCTGTGTCTCTGACTCAGGAGTCTCATGTTTTTGTCAGACTAACTCATTAGCTTGGGAGTTGGGTACAATCCCAGCCCCTGATATTGGCCTGTTTCAGTCACATGTCATGTACATATATTATTACTTGTGCAACATAAAAATTCCTGACGGAGGAAATGGCAACCCACTCCAGTATTCTTGCCTGGGAAATCCCATGGACAGAGGAGCCTCTCGGGCTACAGTCCATGTGGTCATAAAGAGTTGGACATGATCGAGTGACTGAGCACAACATAAATATCAGTTTTGATTTTTTTTTTTAAAAGAAAGGCAAAAAAAGAAAAAAAATCATACATATACCAAAAGTCAAAGCTTACAAATTAAAGGAACGTGAGAAAACAGCAACCACCCAAAGAAGAAAATAGAGAACTCTGCTCATTCCTACCCAACAAAATTTGTTAATCCCTCTGTAGATATCTTTTCAGTGTCTTCCATGTAGGTACCCACATTTTTATTAGTCTTCTGCAAAAATATCATAGCATAAAGGGAGGGGGCTCAAGAGTGAGGGGATATATATATACTTAGAGCTGATTCATGTTGTTGTACAGCAGAATCCAACGTGACATTGTAAAGCAATTATCCTCCAATTAAAATGAAAACAGGAGGGGGAGCTTCCCTGGTGGCTGCCAATGCAGGAGGCACAGGTTTGATCCCTGATCTGGGAAGATCCCACATGCTGTGGAGCAACTAAAGCCCATACCCCACAACTATTGAGCCTGTGCTCTAGAGCCCCGCAGGTGCAGCTACTGGGCCCACGCATAGCAGCTACTAAAGCCCGCGTGCCCTAGAGCCTGTGCTCCTCAACAAGAGAAGCCGCCGAAAGCCTGTGCAGCAACGAAGACCCCGCACAGCCAAAAGTGAGTAAATAAATATAAATTTTTAAAAATTAAAAAGATAAGGTCATAGCATATTCAGTGCTTAATAACCACTTTGATTTAGTCAGGCAGTCCATGCCTGGGGCTGTTGCGGTGACCACCCCCAGCGTCTTGAGAAGTCCAGAGCCCACCAGGAATTTCACGCAGCTTGCAAAGGCTCTCACTGGCCCCCAGCCAGAGTCGAGGTCTTCCTCTTACCCTGGTATTTCCTGGGAGCTCCTGGGGCAGAAGAAGTGCTAGCCTTGGGGGCACACCACAGCTTGGGGACCACAAAGGCAAAGGAAACCGCCTTCCCCTCCCATCTCCTCCACACCCCTTGGTTTTCAGGCACCCATCTCCACTAGCCCTGCTCTGACCCCTATACCTGTTCCAGAGTCACCAGCTTGCCATCCCATTTTCCAGCGAAGATCCAGGAATCCCCAGTCCAGAACCCGCCCACCATCCCCACCGGCTGCAGCTGAGACCCCAGAGCCCCTGTCATCACCTGGATGCCTCTCTCATCACACGGCAATGTAGGAGTGGGGCGGGTGGGGCAGGATGCTGAGGGGTGGGTGGAGCCAGGGCCACTTCCTTTCCCCTTGGGGCCCCCGACCGCCAGTCTTGCCCCAGCTTCAGGAGGAGTTGGAGCAGCGTGGTTGCAGCCCTGTGCCCTTTTCAAGTGAGCTGGTAAGTGGCGGGACGTGGTGGGGCAGGGGCCTCAGTGGACCTGGGAATGTGCCTCTGGTTTGAGAAGACCTTGCCAGATGATGGGAAAAAAGGGCGAGGAGCTATCGGAGCTGCGTGGGGTCAGGGCAGGGCAGGTCGAGGGGCAATGGCTAGAGCGCACTGAGGGGTCCTGTGGGGTAGAGTTGATGGGGGTGCTGCCAGCATCTTGTGATTTCTGCCACTAGTGAAAGCAAGGGTGGAAAAGGCCGTTGAACCGCAGAGCTCGGCCCGGCAGTTGGCAGGGAAGTGGGCAGGAGGGGGGGGCCTGGCTCAGTCCTCCCCCCACCCCCAGATCCTTATGTGTTCTACTTCTCCAAATTCCCCACCCTCAGGTCCCAACTCCTGCTCATGCCCGTTGCTTTGGAAATGATCCTGCTTCTCCTCCTCTTCGGGAGCGTGGGGGCAAAAAACATGACTGAAGCATCTCCAAACAGCGCTCCTTTGTGGATATCTGAAACCACAACACGCTCTCTTTCTTCGGTCTCTGGGATCCCAACTTTCAACTCAATGACAACCAGTCTTACAACAAACAAGGTCCCTGAGATGGGTGATAACCCTGGGAACCAGACTTTCCTGCTTTCCTCAACTCCCAATACAGCCAATGTGGTGTCCTCTCCTGAAACTTCCCCTGCTGCCAGCAGGGGCAGTCCTGTATCTGAGTCAACAGTCTCCCAGGAAGATTCAACCAAGAAGTCAACAATGCCCATGAAAATCCCTGATGGCCCCAGCATACCTGGTGTCTCAGTAACGAAAACTATAGGATTCCCCACTATGACTGGTAAAACCATGGCAACTAGCCCTCTGGAGACCACCAATGGGACCAGTGGAACCCCTGTTTCCATGGCAACTAGCCCTCTGGAGACCTCCAGTGGGACCAGCAAACTCCTATTAACTATGGCAACTAGCTCTCTGGAGATCTCTGGTGGGACCAGTAGATCTCCTGTCACCATGGCAACAAGCTCTCTGGAAACCTCCAGTGGAACCAGGGAACCCCTTGTCACCACAGCAACTAACTCTCTGAAGACCATCAATATGACCAGTGGATCCCCTGTCATCATGAAAACTAGCTCTCCTGAGATCTCCAAGGGGACCAGTGGACTCTTGGTCACCATGCCAGCTACCTCTCTGAAGACTCCCATGGGGACCAGTGGCTCCACTAGCCCTGGAGTAACAACATCCAGCCCAAATATCTCCACAAACGTAAGCAGGAGGGACAAACTCATTCCAGCTCAAGGGACAAAAGGCACCCTGCTGGTGGCTGTGCTTGTGGCCCTGCTGGTGGTCGTTGTCCTCGGGGCATTGATCCTGTTGTGGCGCCGGCGGCAGAAGCGGAAGACAGGAGTCCTGACACTAAGCAGGAGTGGAAAACGCAACGGGGTGGTAGATGCCTGGGCTGGGGTCGCCCGGGTGTCTGATGAGGAGGCCATGACAGCAACAGAGGGAGCATCTGGAGGTAACAGTGACTCTGATGGCCCCCACAGGGAGGGGTCTGGCCAGCAACCCACACTCACCACTTTCTTTGGTAGACAGAAGTCTCGCCAGGGCTCCGTGGCACTGGAGGAGCTAAAGGCAGGGCCAGCCTCCAGCTTAAAGGCGGAAGAGGAGCCGCTGGTGGGCAACGAGGATGAGGGTGCAAAGGCCCCTACTTCTAATGGGCCAGAAGCGAAAGAGGTGAAGACCCCTTAATGCTCGAGAATCGCAAGACTGGAATTCAGAACCATTCCCGCTTTCATCACCTTCCCTCCCATCATCACCAAGAGGTTGATATCCAACCTCTTCATCCATCACCAGCATTTCCACCCAGCACCCTTTGGATTTCAATGCAGCACCTTCATCCTGTCTTCATTCAGCTTCTTAACCCTGGCTCTTCTAGCCAGCATCCGCACCCAGCATCCACCCCCAGCACCGAGACCCAGGGCCTACACCCAGTGAACACTTGCAAAACTTCCTCATCAACCCCTACTTCTCCCCATCACATTTTCTCCACATTTTGGTCCTTGAAACCAGCCGCTGAGTCTCCGGAAATGCCAAACTCCCTGGACTGGTGATTTCTCAGCAGATACCAGAGTCTGGGAAGGAGTTGGCAACCCAGCAAGCTCCCACTTCAGAATTACTCTGGAAAGTACATTTGGCCCCATGGATTAGGACGTTTGTCCCGGATTAGCCCATGAACTGCCCGTAACTCTGGGTGCCCGTGGTCTGTGCCGGGCCGGCCCGGAGCATGGGCTGGGTGGTGTCACCCTGGGGTGCTCTCAATGTGTCTGTGATGGCCCCAGGCCCCTAGACTGGCCCACGGTCCCAGCTGCCACACTCCCCCCACCTCTGGATGGAGGCGGCCAGAGGCTTTGGTTGTTTCTCCTCCCAAGAGCAGAGGTGAGAAGTTTCTGGGCAGGTGTAGTTCTTAGAAGTCTTGGTGTATGCGTGGGTCCACTCATGTGTGCGGTTTGTGTGCAGGAGGCGAGGACTTGGTGAAGTTTGTGAAGGACAGTGGGGGGTAGTACAGACAGTGTGAGGGAGGTGGCAGGGAAGGGGCAGGAAGGGCTGGGGAGATGCCACCCTGAGGAGGTGCTGAGAACATAGGCGCCCTTGTCTTTGCTCAGATGGGGTGGAGGTGGAAGATTTAATTCTGTCTGTGGCCTGGCTTGAGAGAAAGACTGCATGTGTGACTGAGCATGGTTCTTCAACTCAGCCACAGAGTACCCCGTAACCCACACCCCTACCCCCTCTTCTCCTCCCCCACCCTTCCAGCCACACTCTCCTCCACTTCCCACCCCCCGATTCTTTCATCCATCATCCCCTCTCCTACCCCCACTACCCCGCCAACGGTCACACTGAGTCCCAGGACTTGCTGATACTGTTACCCGTTTAATGTGTTTGTCTGTTCTATTCCTCAAAGGGGGGGTCAGTGAGAGAGGGAGCTGTGACAAGTCCCAGAACCAGGAGCATCCCTGTGGCTCTGGGATGGAGAAAAGGGGACAAGACCCAGCTGCACCATCTCTGAGACCAGCTCAGGCTAGTGCCCTGGGCACCACGTGGACCCGGAGGCTGTTGGTATTTCTCCAGGGCAAAGAGGAAATTTGCAAAGAGGAAGTTGTTGAGTTAAGAGGAGCAGTGACCAAGAGCAGACGTACTGACCTATAAAAGGAGAGGGCGAGGGACACCATGGTGGTGTGACTGACAGGTGGTTTGGATCGGAGGGGATGTGGGAGAGGGGGAAAAGGCTGGGTCAGTCAGTTCATGGGAGGGTGGGGGAGAGATGGGGAGAGAAATGGCGGAAAGTGGCCAGGGACCCACCCAGAATTGTGCCACCCACGCCCGGGCAAGCGGGGGTGGAAATCTAGTCTTCCCCACACATGTCTGGGTGCCTTTTTTTTTTTTTTTGGCCATGCCGTGCAAGCAGGAGGGATCTTAGTTCCCCAGCCAGATATGGAACCTGCACCTTTTATCTAAATAAAAATAATAATAAAATATTGAAAATACTCATTTTGTGCTGATGGTAAAATAACATTTTTCCTCTTTTGCAAAATTGCCAGCACTTTCTAGTATCTTAAATAATAGAACTCTCTCACACACCCAACCATATATGGTATCTTATTCTTCATCCTATATTTTAAAACGCGTGTTCCTATTTTATTTTCAAAAGCACACATTATAATCAGTTACAAATACAGCTTTGTCCAGTGCAAATTCCAGGTGGAAGAGGATTTTGGTCTTGAAAAATCTACTCGTGTAATTCACTTCTGCAGACAGGAAAAGGGTCTCAAATGTTCGAAGGATATCTCATTTCTAAAAGTGGATATTTACACTTCGTTTTCCTCTGCATCCATAAGTCTGCTCCTGTTCTGGGAAGTTTTGGGGTCCAACCATTAGCCATCAGAAAACTCAGGCTATTCTGCAGATCATCTATCTATCCCCAGCAACAAACTGCCAGTGGATGTCTTCAGGACAGCTAGCCAGACCATGGCCAGACCTGGGGTGCTTAGCAAACCTGCCTACCCAGCTCATGTCTTCAGGACAGCTAGCCAGACCATAGCCCAGATCCCCAGTGCTGCCAGCCATGGAGAGGGCCACATACTCACTCCTGCATTTGCTCGTGCTCTGCCTGAAGCCCACCCACTCCCCATTTGCCCACCCCACACACATCTTGACTTCCCTCCAACCTCCTCTTAACCATCAAGGTGTTGCTCAAATGTCACTGCCTTTGCGAAGCCGCCCGAGCTGCCTCCATGCCCAGGAGTGGAGTTTCGGCTCCACTCCTACAGTCCTCATGTGACAGTAAGAACAACTGGGCTGTCTCATGTGAAGGTGTCCCCCGTTCCTGTTGTCTTTATGACTCCAGATTCCGGAGCCTGGCATGCTTACCTAATATGTGTTTACTGAATGAAAGAATAAATGAATGAAAGAATGAGCAAACAATGTTTTTCACGTAAGCCATGGCAAGATCAGATGTCTTCTGGCTTTGGTTTTTGCAGGTACAAAGTTAATTATTAGAGACATAGCCCAACAACAAGTGGGAGAGCATGTAGAGAAACAGTTGTTTAGTTAACACAGAAGCAAGGCAGAGATGCACACCCAGAGAGAAAGGGTGGGGGCGTCCCCACTGTGAGGAGGAGCCAGATCAGTTTTTTGAGCAAAACTGGCATCCAGGAGCATGGCCTGAAAGTAGTGTGGCCGGAGATGGAAGCATCAGCCTAGTTCAAGATAGGGTGGGAGTCTGGTCTAAGGCAAAAGAAGAGGTCAGGCTTGAAATATATTTATCCAGAGAATAAGATTTGTAGAACTAATTGACTATTGAGATGATGGGAGGAAGAATGAAGTTAGACTCCAAGGTTTCTGTCTTGGGAGACGAAGATGCTGACATAATTATGTGAAAAAGGAGAGAGATGAGCAGTGTGGGGAGAAAACATGAGTATTTATGTACTTATGTATTTATTTCTATTTTGGCTGCTCTGGACAGCTTGCAGGACATCAATTCCCCAACCAGGGGTTGAACCCCAGGCCACGGCAGTGAAAATGCTGAATCCTAACTACTAGATGACTAAATTCCATGAGTTTGTTTTTAGAACTGTCAGGAGGGATGTTAGAAGTAGAGACCTGAAATTTTGGAGGGATCAGAGCTGGAGAAATAAAGAGTCATCTGAGTTTGCATAGCAATTTAAATAATGGCACTGATGGATAAATGCACAAACTGTATCATTCATTGTGTAGAATGAGAAAAGGAGAGAGCTGTGGAGAGAATCTTCTTGTGTTAGGGCAAGCTAATTGCTATTAATAAGCAACCACCAAATCTCAGGGGTAGAACTCAAAAGAAGCTTTTTCTTGCTTATGCAAAAATTTAGTGTGGTATTTGGAGGGCAGCCTTCCACGGGGCCACTCAGGGACCCAGGCTCCCTCTGTCTTATGGCTCTGCCATTCCTAGGGAGGGTCATGGGGAGACTGGAAGTGGCCTGTATCACTTTTGCTCACATTCCACCAGACAGAATTCAATTACATGGTGGTCTCTTTTCCCGGGGGGCTGGGAAATGTAGTTTAGCTGTGTACTCAGGAGGGAAGGGGCTTCCCAGGTGGCGGGAGTGGTAAAGAATCTGCCTGCCAATGCAGGAAGAGACATGGGTTCAATCCCTGGGTCAGGAAGATTCCCCTAGAAGAGGGCATGGCAACCCACTCCAGTATTCTTGCCTGGAGAATCCCATGGACAGAGGAGCCTGGCTGGCTACAGTCCATAGGGTCGCACAGTTGGACATGACTGAAGCGACTTAGCATGTGTGCTTGCCAGGAGGGAAAGAGGAACCGTCCTCACCACACTGAGGGGACACCACAATTTGAGGAAGAAGGATCTGCAGGAGACAGAAGAGAGCCTTGAGGAGAGAAACCAAGAGAAAATGACGTCTAGGGGGAACAAAGGGAGAAATGGTTCGGAGAAGGGCTGTCAGGAACTAACCTAGACTAGAGAGAGGCAAGCAAGGAGCTGAGGTGCAAGAATGGAGCTCGAGCTTGAGCTCCTTCACTTCTGTGCCCCAGGACCCTTGCTTGCCTCATGTGAGTCCAGGTCCTGCTGGGGTCGAGTGCTGCAGAGGCAGAAATCAGAGAAGTCTGGGAAGAGGCCAGGGTCTAACAATCAGTGGTCCCAGCAACTTTAGCAGGTGGTTCCGAGGAAGAAATGGAATCTCCAGCACTTCTGGAACAGGAACTTGCCCAAA